ATTTGTTAATTTCCCAAATTATCAAGAACAATAAATTGGAGTAAAAGTACTTAAGGTTACCTTTGAATATGAGAGAGAGAGAGAGAGAGAGAAAGAGAGAATAAATAGCGATTCTGAAGTTACTTGCATTGTATTGGCATAGATATGAATGCAGCGATTCTGTTGCCAATCACAATAGTCCACAATATTCTGTATTCACGTCACAATTGCAGTGAATTAATCATAATAACAATAATAATGGTTTTATGTGTAGGTATCATTTCACATGAAAAACGTGATAGATTTTCTCAGTTTAAATTTATAAAGTGAGTGAGAGGGAGAGTAGAGTTAACATTACTGCTCACTTTGATCTAGTACACGAAATAGCAACTTATGCCATAAGCCTTATGGCAACATTAAATTTTGAAAATTGAATTTCATTTTTATAAAATATACTAAAAAAACTTTACAAATTATAATTCACCATTTTTTTGATGGATTTAAAAATCAAATAATTAATTCATTATTTAGGAAAAAATGTAGCCATCAATGCCATATAACCAAACACGCAATCTTCTTAAACATACACAATATTTTCATACATAATAAACTACAGTTTATAAAACATATACCATAATTTAAAATTTAATATTACACACACTTAATATTAAGTAAGCATACACTAACCGTTTTGTCAAAATAACCAGGCACAATTTCAAAAGATCGAGACCGATCTAATTGGCGTGATAAGCACCTCGGCCGATTTGAAGCGTAACTATCTAGAGTTTACTGAACTCCGGTATATACTCAAGAAGACTGGCCAGTTCTTTGAAGAGGCGCAGGCATGTCATTTAATTAAATAAAAAACACAATGGTTAATCACAAAAATTTATATTAACTACGATCTTTATGGGCAATAAATAGGAGGTAGAGTCGACCCGGAAGGAGATCCGTAGGGTATCGGTGGTCGACCCGAGGCTTATGCGCCGCTTTTCCAGCGTTAACCAAGAGATAGCCATACCGTTAGATCCGGTCACTGATATCAAGTACGTGCGGCTAACCCATACATCACACCCTTATATCACTATGATAACCCACACCTCACTTGACACATAACACTGTACTTTCATTATGTTATTATTATATAACTAAATAACTTATTAACAATATGTAAACAAATATAACGCTTGACACAAAATAGTATTTACATGTAATTAAATATTTACATGTATGTTTTTTATTTAAAAAATGATCTAGTTTCATCGCGGGCACCATATTGCGACAAAAATTTCTTCCGTTTGAACAGATGCTATGGCGTGTCTGTCGGGGTAATATATTTTTGCGCCAGGTGGAGATTGAGGAACGCCTGGAGGACCCTAAGACAGGCGAGATGCAGACCAAGTGCATTTTTATTATCGTATTCCAAGGCGAGCAGCTCAAGAATAAGTGCAAAAAGATTTGCGAAGGGTATGTACGGGACAAAGGGGTGGGATAGAGTAGCGGAAAGGGTAGCGCATAGTTTATATGGTTTTTGAATTTATATTGGTAAAATTATTCCAATATATTATGTAGCATAACATTGTGACTAATTTCACCAACTTATTTATTTTATCAACTTACATACTTGTTATGTACGGTACACATAAGTTACACATATGTGACATAACTTATCTACGCTTTATTAAAAGTATATTTACAACTTAATTATTAATGAATCAAATTAATTAAGCTTACTAGTTTTGCACCAAGGTCAATTAGTTGCCTTTAATAGTGTTTAATTTAAATCGCAACAGAAATTAAACTAGGTATAATTTGAAGCTTAAAACTAAACACTTATAAACTATAATTTTTTATTATTCAAAGCTAGTTATATATAAGAATTGAGTTTATCCTAATTATTGGATGGGTGAAGTGCAAGCGATATATTTATTGATAATATTTGAATAATTTTTACATATTTTAGAAACATAATTAAATAAATTAGTAAATCACCTAGTCTCAAAATTGGCCCTTTAGTAAATTAGCCATTTTCCACTCGTATTTTATAATCAAACACTTATCACCCCTATGATTTTTATATAGAATAGTAGGAATTAAAATAAATACTCTGTTACTAAACAACTAAATTTAAACATTTGGATACATACGGATTAAAATAAATGCTTAAATTTTAGATTATACTAATTTTACAATATAATTCATTATACCAAATTATATAACCATAACAATTATACAATATAAGTCATATTAAATACATGTAACTAATAATAATACCCTATTATTCATGGTATAAATATAGCTTTCACACTACACTCTACCCGTGCCCGGAAATGCCCGGGGAGAGGGCCGAAATGTTACGTGGTGTGACCAATCGGCTAGATGAACTGGAAATCGTAATGAAAGGCACCGAGGACCATCGCACCAGAATCTTGGTAGCGGTGGCCAAAAACCTGCTCGAGTGGCGGGTACAGGTGCGCAAAATGAAGTCGGTCTACGAGACAATGAACATGTTCAGCATCGACGTGACCAGCAAGTGCCTGGTGGCCGAGTGTTGGTGCCCGGTCATTTACATACCCCATATTCAGGAGGCTATGCTGGAGGCGCAGCGCGAGTCCCAAACGGCCATACCGTCGGTGTTGACCCGTATCGAGACTATGGAGACCCCGCCCACGCTTAATATTACCAATAAGGTTAGTTTGTTTGTTACGTGCTTGTGCTAATCCGATTTTTAATTAGATACCTTGTTGCTATTGACAAGTTGTTAAAAAAATTAAATTGTCATACATTTTAATATATGATATTGTGTTAAAATAAGCTATAATTTATTTTTCACTTGTAATATGCTACATATTATTACATATATTTGTAAAAATAAATCACTTTAAAAATTATCATAAATTTCCCACAATGCAACGTTAGGTTATTAAACATTTATTTGAAGATATGTCCAATATTATTAAACTCATTATTTTCAATAAACACACATAGCTATTGTAATACTAACGTACAGTTTTCACAAAATATAATAAATAACAAAAAGTAGCCTGACACAACTGAATATATATTTAGTTATTATGGTGGTGACTTAAATTCAGTCTACCATTACCAAGCTAAATATTTTATTGTTACGTTACTTTTATAGACAACAGAGTAATAAATAAATATTAAGTTATAAATAAAAAACAATATAAAAATAAATTGTAATGTAAACTTGAATTCTAATTAATATTTTGCCAAGTTTATAAATAAATTTTAATCCTAATCTAATTATTACAAATAATTATTTAATATTATCATGCTATAGTTTACAACAGGGTTCCAGGCCATTGTGGACGCTTACGGGGTGGGCAACTACGGCGAAGTTAACCCAATGCCGTTCACGTGCGTCACCTTTCCATTCATTTTCTCTGTCATGTTTGGTGACGCGGGTCACGGATTGATCATGGCACTTTTCGGCCTATGGATGGTATTAAAAGAACGTGGTCTGCAACGAAAGGACTGGGGTGAAATATGGGACATGTTTTTTGGTGGTAGATACATTATTTTGATGATGGGCCTATTCTCGATTTATTCCGGTTTTATTTACAACGATGTATTTTCCAAGTCGATGAATATATTCGGGTCACAATGGAAAGCGCCTGACTTGCCCGAAAATAGTACCGTGTTTTACCCGCAGATGACCCTCGACCCCCAGAATGAGACCTACGAGGACAGTTTGCCCTATCCGTTTGGTATTGACCCGGTGAGTTTATTTTAATATGTTTAATGGCCCTACCAAGTTTCAATTGAAAATGTTTAGCATTATAGACTGTAATATTGTATTTAGTAAGAAAATTATGTGTATATATTGACAGCAAGTTCAAACTTAATTGGCGTATTATAACCATTTTTAAAACAATTTTTTATCTACAAATATAATAACACCCAG